TTCTCAGCCAAAACCCAGTCCATTGAGCCCATTTATGCACCGAGTTGCCCGTTCTCAGCCGGATCTTGGATTATTGAACCCATTTATGCACCAAACAGCTCCATTCTCAGCCAAAACCCAGTCCATTGAGCCCATTTACGCACTGAGTTGCTCCATTCTCAGCCGGATCTTGGATTATTGGGTCCATTCATGCACCGAGCGGCTCCGTCCTCAGCAGCACTCAGGTTATTGGAATCCATTTGTGCACTGAGCTGCCCGTTCTCAGCCACATCTTGTATTATTGAGCCCATTTATGCACCGAGTTGCTCCGTTCTCAGCCAGATCTTGGATTATCGGGTCCATTTATGCACCGAGTGGCTCCGTTCTCAGCCAAAACTCGGGTTATTGGAATCCATTTATGCACCGAGTTGCCCGTTCTCAGCCGGATCTTGGATTATCGGGTCCATTTATGCACCGAGTTGCTCTGTTCTCAGCCAAAACCCAGTCCATTGGACCCATTTATGCACCGAGTTGGCTGTTCTCAGCCGGATCTTGGGTTATTGAGCCCATTTACGCACTGAGCGGCTCCGTCCTCAGTCAAAACTCGGGTTATTGCAGCCATTTATGCACCGAACGGCTCCGTTCTCAGCAAAAACTCACTCCATTGAGCCCATTTGTGCACCGAGTTGCTCCGTTCTCAGTCAGAGCTTGGATTATTTGGCCCATTTATGCACCGAGTTGCTCCGTTCTCAGCCGGATCTTGGATTATCGAGCCCATTTATGCACCGAGTGGCCCCGTTCTCAGTCAGAGGTAGCTCCGTTCTCAGCCAAAGCTCACTCTATTGAGCCCATTTACGCACTGAGCTGCCCCGTTCTCAGCCGGTTCTTGTATTATTCGGCCCATTTATGCACCGAGTTGCTCCGTTCTCAGCCAGATCTTGGGTTATCGGGTCCATTCATGCACCGAGCGGCTCCGTCCTCAGCAGAACTCCGGTTATTGGAATCCATTTGTGCACTGAGCTGCCCGTTCTCAGCCACATCTTGTATTATTGAGCCCATTTATGCACTGAGTGGGCCCGTTCTCAGCCGGAGCTCTCCTTGTCCTGCCCCTCCCTGTGTCTCGTATCCCCATTGTCCCCACTGTCCCTATTGTCCCTGTTGTCCCCATTTTCCCCATTGTCCCCATTGCCCCCGTTGTCCCCATTGTCCCTATTGTTCCCATCATCCCTGTTGCCCCAGTTGTCCCCAATGTCCCCGTTGTCCCCATTGTCCCTATTGTTCCCATTGTCCCTATTGTCCGAATTGTCCCCATTGCCCCTGTTGCCCCCATTGTCCCTATTGTTCCCATTATCCCTGTTGTCCCCGTTGTCTGAATTGTCCCCATTGCCCCCATTGTCCCCATTGTCCCCCCTGCCCCCATTGTCCCTGTTGCCCCCATTGCCCCCATTATCCCTGTTGTCCCCGTTGCCAGAATTGTCCCCCTTCTCCCCC